GAGATATGTTGAAAAACTGGGTGGAGGGGAATGTGACGAAGGTAAGCGAGAGCACTACTGCTGGAGGCGGCCAGGATTTTCGCTCGCTTTTGCAAGAACTGGAGAAGAGTGGTACGAGCTTGTGGATTAGTGCAATACCGACTGACGGGACGTGGTCAACGGTGTGTACGGGTCAGTCCAACGTAATGGTCTGCCTCTATCAATTCGCCACCACTTGGAACGCGTTTATGGAAGCCCGAATGATTGTCGGAGTTGTGGTTGACGGTATCGCGATCAGTAGCGGGGATTTGCCAGCGATCATCAACCAGGGAACAGCTGCCAGAGGTGTCCTTAAACTCGGCCTGGCAGTCGGTCTTGGTACTCTAAATGGTGCCAAGAATTCTTATGGCAATTCTGTCGACATGTATTTGTCTTTTCTGTTGGATTTTTGGGTGCCCTCTGCTGATGCGTATAATGGTAACTCATCAGAGTTCATGAGCAGGAAGGATAAGGTCCAGGATATGTCCGACTTCCTCCTCTCGAGCATCTCTGGAGAGTCTCCAATACCCCAGACAGACACGCGCCGATATGCTGACGACACTGCGCTCATTTGGTCACCAAGGCACACCGGTTCAAGTGGTTGTATGTATCCGTTGAATACTGGAACTTGTACCAACCCTACAGGAGCTAACGAGCTCGGCTCGTGGTCGCCTAAGGAAGCAATAGAACTTATGAAGTCGATCAAGTCGAGGGTTGGCAGTGAAGGCACTCGCTTAGGATTTTACACTCTCAGTCTGATGCCATTCTCATGGTTGACGACGGACTACCGGAGATGCTTCGGGCGTAATTGTTGATTGTCATAGTAAATTACATCAGGTTATCTATTAGTAGTGCAACATTATTTAATTGTCTATTGGATCCCGCATCGGGGTACATACACGAAGTAGTCAATTTTCGGGGATTATTATTGAGAAGTCTCGAGTTAATCTGGAGTGCACTTCGAAGCATTGCGTGCCGGCACCCATCATAAAATCTTCACATTGAACTTAAGACGGGAACACTGCGAGTGACAGCTCCAGGCTGTAAGAGACATCTGTCTAGCTCACAGAGAGCTGTTTTCTCACCTGGGGTGTTTTCAGATGATATTCCGATGCCCCGGTAATGTGGTT